TCAACAAAAAATACTACCTACAGTCTCTTTACTACACGAGGGACTAAAAAAACAGATAGATTTTAAAGGATCAAAATCAAGCCTTAGGAGAATTCTGAAGGAGCTTGGTTTCAGATGGCGGAAAACGCAGAACAGCCGAAAAATTTTGATTGTGACCAACGAAATTCTGGAAAAGAGAATTTCTTATTTGAGAGCAGTCAAACGTTTCATAAATGAGGGTCGTACTATTATTTTCATGGACGAGTCATATATTTTAACAAGCCATGTTTCAAGTCTATCGTGGTCTGACAACTCAACCAAGGGAATGCGTATACCCATTTCTAAAGGACAACGCCTAATAATGATTTGTGCATGAAGTGAAGCTGGCTTTGTCCCTAACGCATTGACGGTGTGGAAGGCATCGAGCACCACGGGTGATTATCACGACAACGTCAGGAAGGAAACTATGATCAAGTGGATGAAAGAGAAACTTCAGCCAAACATACCACCAAAGTCCGTGATTGTTGTAGATAACGCACCTTATCGCAATGCACAAGTAGACAAAGCAAAAAGCACCCACATCCAGCGCCCAGATTTTATAAAGCACCCAGATTTTTATAGTAGAAAACAAGAAATGAAGGACCATGTATTTCATGAAACATGAAATACCATTTTCCAACGAAATGCTGGTTCCCGAGTTGTACAAGCGTGTACTGCTGAACAAACCAAGATTTAATCCATATGAAATTGATGAACTACTCACGGGTACTGACCATGTTATTCTTCGTCTCCCTCCCTACCACCCAGGTCTAAACCCAATATAACTCATTTGGGCTGAAGTAAAAGGTTACGTAGCTAGCAGAAACGTAAATTGTGTTCTCGTGTTCTTATTTTCTCCTCCAATCCAAGACCCAGATCTTCTCCTTAGCACTTTACTTCAGCAAATGAGCGATCAGCATGAAGTGATCCAACTAACATATTCTCATTCTTTCACTTTTCACATCTTTCAGTATATTAACGTCAATTTAAATGCCAATTCAGGTCCTTTAGTCATACCTTTTTGTCGTGGAGTTTGGAATGACGTGAAATCGTTGTCTTTTTAAACAATTTTATGTGTATTTAGTTTGTTTTCACTCGTTTTCCGTCGGTAGGAACAGTCACATTCTTCTAATCCCTGATAAGGATAGTAATGTCACCTTGATTAACTTGGCCTTCCAATTTCGACTTGAGGTTTCGATTTTTCGTTTCAATTATGTTGTTATGCTATGTTATTATGTTCGTCTTGTAAAATAATTAGAAGGATTCTCAAATTGTACACCTAATAATGATAATGAAAGGTAAAAATTAGAAAAATATGTGTGTATATTAAATTAAGGAAAATAGGAAACGTGAAAACAGGTTAAGAATATCACAAACAAAACATTGAACTGTTTACAAGTAAAAGGGAAAACAAACAAATAAACGCTGACAGCAAAACTGACTAATGTTTTTAGAAAAGAGCCCCCTCACCCCCCCCCCCCCCCCCCCATCCACACTACAGCTGTTACAGCCACGAGCACAGACTAATGGTACCACCAGTACTTAACTCAAAAACCGTTGGGTTTAGAGAAAATTTATAAATACCCAAAATGTGTTTTTAGAGGGACTAAATTTTGTATATTTAGCTTTTTCCTGTATCTCTAATAATAAAGTCACTAAAGCTAAAATACATAAATATGCCACCATTTTTCAATATGGTGGCCGTTGCACAGCTTCAATTTCAGGGGAGTTTTAGTATGTTCAGAAGGATGGTACACCCAACATCCGTACCAAATTCCTTGCTTGGCTAATTTTTGTTGGGTCAAAACATATTTTTATTGAACTGATAGTGGAGCGGCGCGGCAACGGTAGTGTAGAGGCTAGATAAGAGGCTGAATCACAGTAGTACTATTGAATATAGTTTAAATCAGATCAAGAGGGTAAAATGTACTGATTTGTAAAGAAATAAATGAATGGCGAAAATGTTATAACACAATAAAGTGGCCATTCATTGAAAACCTGCCTACATATTTAAAATAATGAACATTACTTATATATCTATAGAAACTTCTAGTCATTGTGTAATAAATTATACATTAAATATGTCTCTTAAGGGGAAAATTGTACCTTTTTGACAAGAATAACTACACGATATCATTTCATACATTGTAATAAAATTATTTCTTGTCCGAAAGAGGACCGTGTTCACGAACAGGATGAGGGGTCGTTCATCAAAGGAGATGTATCTATACTTATTTAAACTTAGTAAAACTGGGAATGAATATGAGTTACATGTATGATTAATAAATTATATATTCTTGAAGGAACTAGAGTGGTTCGTTGTACCATATAATTGTGGTTCAGTACAACAACTAATTTCTCGACACTCTTGTCAATCATATCACACAGCTTCTAGCTAGGGCATAAAATGGAGACTATGCCATTTTTGTTGTCTTGCAAACCCTTAAGCCATTTGTTGTTGCCCTGCAGCCTTTGAAACTATATGGTCCAGCTTAAAAACATATCTTAAAGTATTAAAAGAGTTTATGTGCTGTTTTCTATACATTCTGTCTTTTTAAGAGTACTACATTTATAAGAGTAGACTATATTTATCTTTTAAGTTCATGGGTTTAGAATAAATATTACTTTTAATGTAGTTTACTAGCACAAAACTACAATTTGTATCGATGTCATTACATCAAAGAATCTGGTATGGGATGAATTATTATAACATTAAGCCTTTTATAATGGCACAGCTTTCAAAATGTATTTAAGAAACTAAAAATTTATTATCTAAACTAAAATGTTTAATTGTAGCAAAAATAAAAAAAATTTACTTATCGACCCCTCATTAGCATAAAACGCTAATATAGCATAGGCCATAGTTAGCGTGTGAACTTTTGAAGTGTTAAGTTTGTGCTTAAAATGGTTTAACGAAGTATTTTCAAAACTACCATGGTATTAGAATACTTTCATGAACCATTAAATTACGTGTTGCTAAAATGTTATGGTTTGAAATAAATTTTACGAAGATACCTCATTTGAAATTTGTTATAACTTCAAATCCATGACCAAGTGTCTAAAAGACTTTCAATTTATCAAACTATACACTTAACTGTAATAAGTTTTAATTTTAATTAGCTGATTGTTTTATCGTCGACGTAGATATATACTGATAGATAAACAAATTTAAGATTGTCATCTCGCAAACTATTTCCATCGGTATGAATTTTTCTAGTGTTAATTTTTATTTTGATATTTTTGTTAACTGTTAAATTGATGCGAGTTTATTTACAATATTTTACTGACCTAAGATGAGAAAATTGTCAATAAAATTTCTATAAATAGCACCAATACCTGCGTATGATAAAATGTTTTCACAAGTTTAGTTTTATAACATATTTTGGACAGTATTTTATAATATTTTTAATTAAACCAATACACACGTTTTTGCTATATTGTTAGCTTCCTAAGCAAATTTAACACCACCGAACAAAACTCGGTCCCCTGGTACAAAGGATAACTGAATTAACAAATCTCCTTCAGGTGTTCGCTTCCATGACTTCTTCGCAAGATTATATCCCCAAACGTGTACAAGTACAAGTGACCACCATTTAGTTAGATTCATAAGGTACATTAAATGTACCTTAAAGGGGACGACTTTAATTCTTTTCTTTTCCAATTTCTGTAGAGCCCTTGGTTAATAGGTAAACTGTAGATGCCTATTAGGTAAACTATAACGTTTCTCAAGTAAAAATAGTTTTAGAAAATTGTATATAGATGACGTGAGCCAACTTTACAAGAATTTACTACTACAAGCTACAAGAAGGTTTATTGATACTACCGCAATATTCGTTAACAGTATATGACCTTAATAGCAACCACTTTTCAAAGGATCGGAAGGAGTGGTGGATCGGTCTTTGGTAACCTAATAATACCCAAACCTTATTCAAGAATACAGTTTCCTGCAAATATTGGTTTTGTTGTGTATAACTTATATTTACCGATTTTAATATATTAATGTTTACTTTTTTTCATTTTCAATTATCAAAATTTAAAAACTGCCTGTTATAAATCGTTAATTAAATATCTTACCACAAAGGCTGATGTTTTTGAAATGTATCTAGCTGATTGGGATATACAACTAAATATTAATTGCTACCCTAAAATTATAAATTATTTGAAATTAAATTAAATTAAATTAAAATGTTGAATAAATATGAAAATACTGAAAATGCTTCTTTATTAATGCGAACTTAAGAGCTCATGGTCCTTCCCTACAGTTATCCTCTATTAGTTAAGCCTAATGCAATTATCAACCCATTAAAAAGTACTAAATCTGAGTCTACCATTGTTAGAAAACCCTTTAAAGGGGTACCACATTGGGTTACACTATATCATTTCCTACAACCCGTCTTAAACGTTCATATTTTTTAGCAATTCCCTCAAAATTTAGGGTTTTCAGGAGTATGGTGAGTTTATGGTAAAAAGCATGTATGATGTGAGGATTTTTGGTTTTCACAGTTCCTCTTTTCAGTGCTCTTGTATTAAAGAATGCACAATGCTTTTTATGATGAAAAGAAATAATACCTGAAACCTTGTTTTATTTTTTGTTATTAGCCTAGGTGGGACCACAATAACTAGTTTCACTATCATCATACTAAAATCTCTTGAAAATCATACATACATATTGTTAGTGGAAAGTAAATTAAACTAAGCCTACCGTAGTTTGATTTACTTTCGGTCAATTTAATAACACTTACAATGCTTATCATAGCTTCATAAACAAATTAAACGCCACCGAACAATACTCGGCCCCCTGGTACTAGGCATAACTAAATTAACAAAACTACTGTCAGAGTTCACTTCATGACTTCTTCGCTTGAAATATAGTGTAAAGTTATCACTGACTGGTTTAGTAAGTGAGTGACTGATTCAATTGTGGTATTTGACTTAGATACATACAAGTATACAACTATTCTAAAGTATGCTTTTACATGTAGCGCAGATGGGTCCCTCCGTATCGAGACCTCGGTGATAACGGATCTTTCGCTAGGAAGATTTAGAGCAGCATGTAAGTAAAATATTCTTCTCTTTATGTTATATACTGGACTAAAACATCCAAGTTAAAAACTAATCAGTGGTAGTCTCTGGATCACATCAACATACTTATTCGAATAATATCTAACGACTTTCATAATATTACATTCATAATAATGTATGTTGGATAAAGAAAATATAACTAAATGATATAATTTCACAAATATCATCTTCAATTTCAACTTAGGCTGATCAACACAAAAAGTTTTTGATCAGCAAGAAATTACTTTTCTCTACATAATCGAGTAAAAGTAATGATAAAATTGCTGTACAGCAGAAATTATTAGTTGTTTTCAATAACCAACTCATTTACCTTTGGACATTTTAATCCTCATAAGAAACGGAAAAGTAACAGAACAACATATTGGTTACAGTCACAAATAATTTAAAATCCGGAAGTTTTTTATGTTGTTTTAAATTGAATGTTCATATGTTGCATAGAAAACTGAAACTATATAAACTCCATAAGCTGTCTAGTATCCATTTATTTGACAATTATATGAATAAATGGCAAACAACCAAACTTTGTTCTCCTTTGTCATGTAATACCTCATGTTTCAGCACCTTTCTGTACATACACTTCCAACATCATCGGGTACGCTGGCTGTGACACTTACGTAGACTACCGTGAGATGGAGTTTGGAGGTAAAGTACTTTTATTTCTAGTATTTTGTAATTGATAATTATTGTAAATGAATTTTCCTCACAGGTGAATTTTCCTTCACACTTGAAACTTGAGCGTGAACCGGAAAATGCCACTTAACGGTACTAGGAATGCAATATACAATTGTTTAATTGTTTAAAACTCGTATTCTTATAGGTATCCAAACCAAACTAGCTTTGTAATCTCTTTGTGCTTGGCCCTTATAAATTGCTAGCTGAAAAGTTAGCGGAAAGGCACCATTCTTGATTTTTCTATATTCAGGCTGATAAGTCTATATTGGCTTTTATAGGTCACCGAGTGTTGTAAAATTATTTTCCTCACTACATAACCCATAACAAATTTCAACTTTTGAATTATAAAGATTAAGAGGTGTAGACAATTATTTAGTAATACCATACAGGACTTATTTATTTGTTTCCATTTCCAACGAAAAACATCCATTACTTACAATTATTTAAATAAATACAAGCTGCTCACTTTTTTTTAAATTCTGCCTATTAAATGCATACACAGTAACTAACTTACAATAAATTAATACCTATTGAATGGCAATAAATGAAAATAAATAAATTCGAAACATGTAAACAGAAAACAACACCATACTGAACGAAAATGTGCAACAATAACAAACAACTAATAGCCAAATGAACAATAATAGTAGAATTGGGACTAATTAGTTTGGTTGAAAGTGAATGTTCAAATCAAACCCAGGCAGAGGTCCATGAGATTAATTTGCTATTCCCAAGTGTTGCTTTTTACATACAAAATCCAAAAGAAAAAAATATTTGGTTTGGTCTATTTTAGAGTGTGTCGACAACTCAGGCTGCCCCACGTTTGTGGGAGTCTCCACTCGCTGTGTCCCTCTCGGCCTGTCATGTATTGACAAGGTGGAGGAGATCATCTGTCATGCCGGTCTGACTCTGCCAGACTTTGTCATGCTGCCTATGAAGCACCCACACAAATGTGTCATGGAGCAGATCTGTGTAAACAACATCCAAGGCAACTTCTACCGCGCCCTCAACCTCCCTCCGCCCGCTCCCCCAGCATACTTAATTTAGTTTATAAACTCTTTTAACATTTATTCGATGTTTATTTATTTATTCCTTTATAAAATCCCATCACTAGAGAAAACATGACATTATCCTTGTGACTGCAGCCATCGTTGGAATTATTAACTAAACAATATTATCACCTCTTTTTGGATCGATTTAGTGGTCCATTTTACAAAATTTTTATACATTCATTATTAAAAAACCTTTGTCAATAATATCAGAGTTATTCTAATATTAACTTACAAAGCAACATTATTTGACATTATGACATAATTTATCAATTCAACTGTAAATGTTATATAAATTTCTCTATTCGCCTGCTTTTGTTTTATTCTTTGGATTGAAAACTTTATGAAAAAGTATATTAACATGGATCCAGGTTTCTGTCTATCAGTGCGTTTGGGATACACCTTCTTTGTGTCTCAGTTTCTACTAAAAGTACAAATACATATAGCATCATTCCGTGCACTAATGGTATAAGTAAAAGGTGGTTCAGTTGGTAGCAACGACGGACTGTGATACCAAAGCACCGATGTTTTGATTCAGGTTCCGGTGTACTACTTAAAATTTACCAGTACAGTTCTTTCTTATACTGTAACACCTCACCTTTTTATTTGCTTATGACGTTCCAAGCACGACCCTGAGGTTCATATAGACATAAACTTTCAATATGTTATAAAATGCTGGTAACGTTAATTCTGAGGAATTACTTGGTCAACCCCAAACATTTTCATATTTTACCACGGTCATAAGGATGTTCTCAGGAAAAAAGAAACATATAATTCAAGCCCCGCAAGGCTAGGTTAGGTTAGGTTATGGTATAGGTTAGGTTAGGTTAGGCCTAACCTAATCGGTACTGTCACAACTGGCCTTCCGCGCGTCTCCCGCAAGCCACTGTTATCGCGTGGACTTTGAACCTTCTTATCGTTCGGCAACCTGTAGGATGGCCTTGCGGGGCTTGAATTATATGTTTCTTGTTTCTGAGAACATCCTTATGACCGTAGTAAAATATGAAAAAGTTTGGGGTTGACCAAGTAATTGCTCAGAATTGCCCTGGTAACTTCATGAATAACTAAATTGGAATCTCGTGTGTACGTCATCACTACTAATATGGATTTAAATGTCTAATCAACTTCACAACCATAAATTTAGTAAATGGTTGTTTGTTCTTTGTATCTTAAGTACAAGCTAAGTTTTACATGATATTTTGGTAAAACGTCGACAAGTGAAAATGCAGTAAAGTAGACCTTTGAATATTTTGAATGTTATTAGTATCTTTACCAAAGTATAAAAAAACACCCAATGTGCAAGCAATGTGATTACGTACAAACTGTTAATGTATCAATAAGAATAAATAACTTCTTTTTCAGCATTATAAGTGTTATTAAATTTACGAAAAGTAAAAAAATACGTCTGTAAAGTATATATAGTAAATATACATAAAGATGGTAAGTGGTGATCGATTTCGATTGGACACTCCAATCATCATCAGACCCAATAGGCAAATGAGGTCACATAATTCATGTGTGGTTTTCTTATTACTATAAGAAAATAATAAGCAAAAATAGCTTGAAGTCAAAGTTAAAAAACCGTTCATATAAAAATCAAAACAACAACACATACGCCATTTAGTTGTGTTTGTATGGAGTTTAAAATAAAAATATTTATCTAGAGAAACGGCCTAATGTACTTCTTGGAGACCATACACCTACTTTTCACTGCTATACATTCGTAAAGGTAGTGCCTAAAAGAGATACATTAAAAATAATAATTCAAGTGTGTTAATTGCCCTTGTCAAAAAATACACGTGCAAAATAACTAACGTTCATTTACCTTTTTAAGGCTATATTCACACAGGATCATATTAAATTTACACCTAGGTAAACACCTAGACCTATAAATATGCCTATAAATATATAGCCTAAACAGGCTATATATTTATATGGTCAGTAAAGCTAACGTTAGTAAGAGAAATGCTTAGGTTTGCAGCATAGAGGAACAAATACATTTGTTGGATTACATTTTTTAACCTACTATGGAAATCATTTTCCCTATTTTACTAGCCATAAGAACACAATCTAAAGTTAATTGTCTAACTATTGGGCGAGGGCGAAGTGGCACTTTGCTGCACACGAGAGAAATGTTTACTCACGAACCGTAGGCGAGTGTGGAAAGTTTGTCGAGTGCAGCAAAGGCAGTTTCCACTCACGTTACACATTATACTTTTCCTACAGTTACAATAAAGCATATTAATAATAGTCTTTCAAACACTGTACAACAAGTTTTTAGGTCAGGTTAAATCCAAACATTGATCGAATGTGAAACGCTGCACCAGCTGATCGCAGTCGTAATTTCTTTAAGTGTTGCAACTTATTTTCAAGCGTACACGTATTGTGCGCCTAATAAAAGCACGCTTTTTGTGTTGTTAGGTGGAAATACTGGTGTACGGCAAAAAAAAAACTGAACGGCAAAAGTAAAAAGTGTGCGGCAAAAGTAAGTATATGCAGCAATTAGCAACTTTCTATGCTACAGTGCCAGGATGGCCACTTTGTTAGGTGACTGTAGGACAATTAATTGAATTTAATTATTCTTCTTGGGCATAACCTGGGAGAAAACGTAGAGTGTTTCACTTTTTTATATCTCAGTGAATCGTAGGCAAGTAGTATACATATTCCAAACGATAATTTTTTATTTAAGTAATTAAAATTATAAATTTTGTAAAAATACCACAAATACTCTAACAAAAATAAATTAAACATCTAGATGAATATGCAATCTTGGATGAGCATTCATGCAATACAATTATAGGTTTTTAATTTGATAAATAATACAAATTCAGGCAAAAATTGAAGAATGAATTGTTCTCTTTCATTTATGTAATGTTTCTGAAAAAACATGCAAATTGTTTCAAAGATATTGTATCCACATTTTCGTCGTATTTTTTATTATTATTATTTTTTTAATACTAAGTTCCACAAATAGTATTAATAACAAATAATAAATAAATATTAATAATAAATATTAAGTAACCTGTTTTTACACAAATTATTATTGTGATATGAATTGAAAAAATAATTTATCATATTAGAAAGGGACATAAATGTATTTTACAACCTATAGTTTTAATTGTTAATAGAGTATAACCTACCTTTTGTAATAGTATATTACGTTACTAGTCCTGAAAATAAGTTTTTACCGGACAAGTGTGGTCATTCCCTTGCGAGACGAAGTCGAGAGCGGGATCATCATACGAGTCCGGTAAACACATTTTGGACGAATGACGTACGATATTTTACGCCATACTACTCTAAGCTAAGTTAACGACAAATGATCTGTACAAATCCTAATATATTCCCACCGACTAAAACACTTAAGGACTAACTATTTTAAGTAAGGTTATGTTTTTGTTTATAACCACTCATTACCACCCAAATACAGTATAATCAGCTGATTGGTGTCCGGTAAAACTCATTACAGTACAGTAGTACAATGAAACACCATTTGATTGCTGGCGGCACACAGCTGTTTTCTGGACTAAATCCTTGAGTGGGAAGTTCGTTAAATTAGAGTAGTGTGACTAGTTGTGACATTAGCAATACTTTGGATTAGGCCTACATCAGACGAGGTATTTTTACACCAATTCATATAGGAAAAAGCTAATGCTTAAATATTGAAGTTGTCAAACAAATGTTTAGTGTGATATTGTAAAAGAAATACTATATTACTGTATTATATTATATGAGAATGAGAATGAATGAGAATGAGAATTTTATTTGGTCTTTTAAACATGCACCGTTACATGCAATCAGACAAGTCATATAATAATCATCTGGCAACAATAAGTTAGGCTAACAGCCCCAGTTAGTAAACTGGGTTGACTTAGCTTAAATCACACCGTGCACAAAAACAGACAAATATAATAAATAAATAAATAGTTAAATAATGGCAACTACAATAGTAGAATAAATAGTGCACAAACTACTCTTATCTACTTTCAAAAAACACACCATGCACAAACTACTTCAAACTTCAGGCACAGCAAAAGCAATCATATTATAGCAATCTACTTACAACAGCTGTAGGAATTTCAAAAAATTCTTTTATAGCATACAAAGGATGCGCCAATAACAACTCTTGCAGTTTCCGCTTAAACTGACGAATCTCCAGGTTTCGTGCTGAATAAGGCAATGCATTAAATAGATTTATTGCTAAGATATCACAGTTTAGTTGACTATGACTATGAAAAGAGGTGTGATTTCTAAAATTTACCATAATCTTTTACTTTTGCTCCCACATACATGAGGACCAATCCTTGCATAACGGTAAGATTACAGTGCACGACTTGGAATATCAATATCTTAAGAAACACCCTTGATTATTGTGCAAAGGAAAAAAAGTTTATTAATACATTAGCTGTATTTTCATTTGTTAAATTAAATTGGTACTAAAACAATCTACCAGATTTTTTTATAAGTATGAAAAACTGAACGTTGTGACAAAACATAAATTACAAACTAACAAACGGTAAGAATATTTTGTTGTAGATTAGAACGGAGTGAGACAACAAAGGACGTTTCATGAAAAAGAACATTCTAAATCATAAATGGGTACTACAGTACTATATCACTACTTAAATTATTTACTGAACAGAGTAGGATGTTACTATAGACTAAAATCCGACAATTTTAAACATAAACAAGGTGAAAAAATTACCGAGACAGTTAAATATCTAAATAAATTATACATATAGAGCTACAAAACTTGGTATAAAGTCACTGGGCATTAAAATAATTTTAACACATCATTTTGTTTTGCTGTCCTCCTCAGGGGACGCTAGGAGTCAGAAGAAAATCCAAGCATAGGTTGATACGCACATCAAATTAAAGGGTCGTTGTTAGAAAAATAGAATTCTAGAAACTCAAATAGACAACCGAGTAAAAATACCAGCTATTCAAGTTCTTTTAATTTGCAAAGCCTAGAAATTCTTCTACCTACTCAGCACCCGCTAGAAGTCGGAAGAAAATCATAAATTTAAGCATAGGTCGATATGCTTATCAAATTGTGTGTCTTTATTAGTAGAATACAAATTTGAGTACAAAAGAACAATTCAGAAAAAATTTCAGCCATTCATAGATTCAAAATGTCAGATTTAAGAATTCTTTGAACGACTTCTAACTTTGACTTGGTTGTCTGTTTTAGCTAAAATTTTCGGCATTGTATTCTACTAATATAGACCTTTTATTCGATGTGCGAACCTATGCTTACTTTTTATATTTTCTTCTGGCTCCTAGTGGACCGTCCCCCTTGGGGCTAGCGTATCACTGAATGACGTGTTAAAATTATTTTAATAGGCCTACTCAGTAACTGCGAACTAAGTTCAGTATCCTTATAGTGATCCTTTTTTTATATTAATTGTCCTAGGACTTTTTTACACCCTTAATAATTTTAGATATCATTAGTAAGAAGTAAGAGCTACTAATTGTTATATTGTCTAAAGAATATAACCAGTACTAACGATCCTACCTTTTAGCATCACCCATGAATATTATTATAGATATTTACAATGGTTGTAGCTATTAAAACGTAAATAGCTTGTTTAACCCTGACAAATTCTATATTTAACAATTTCCAGAACGCCAGAAAATGAAATATGGAAGGTTGTACTAAATGTGCATCATTCTTCACCATGATCCAGTGCCAAAGGTATTAGAATGGTGTACAATTGGCAGAAATTAGCTCTCGTTATTCTGGGCTAAGATAGGCTATGTTTGTAAAAGTTGGGAACAATTATTTTGTAGCACTACATATTATAACATATACGTCTAGAATGAGTTGTATTCATACCAAAAAAACTATTGATAGCGCAATGTGATTTGTTTACACTATTAGCCTCAACTGCAACTTTTTTCTGATTTGTAAGTATTATTGTAAAAATAATTATATGCCAAGGGTTTGAAACTAAAAAGTACATTTAAAGCAGGTAGTTTCTTTGTAATAATCTAATTTAAAATTTAAAATAGAACACTAGTTACAAGTTTGTCTAACACTAAGATTTTTTGAATGCCTTCAAGATTGAAAAGATGTAATCTAATGCACTACAGTATTTGTTTGAACTAATTTGGAAATCTACTAATTTATTTAAAACACATGATTATGTTATTCTTAAGTTAAAAAGTAAATCTTGGGAATAATAAGAACTTAGAGGTGAAGTAAGGTAAGGTATGAGCTTAGTATGAACATGAGTTTTGGCATATTATATCAATATAATTCCTTAAGCCAGCAAACTACAACAGTTTAACATAACACAGTCTGATCATGGTGGTTCGCAAACTAGTTCCAATAAATTTATTTTTACACGTTTGTACCAAACTTCATGAAAATCGGATCATTTTTCGTGCTACTGGACACGAAAACATGTATATAGGTATCATGGTAATACCTAGACCAAGGACGGATTTAATTTTTAGTTTTGAGGTCCCCAGGGACCAAAAACACAATTAGTTCGAATTCATATTATATTATATTAAATTATACAGTATATTATATCATATTATATGTAATATGAATTCGAACTAATTGTGTTTTTGGTCCCTGGGGACCTCAAAACTAAAAATTAAATCCGTCCTGGGTCTAGGTATTACCATGAGACCTATGTTGATAACTTATTTCCTATATGGTAAATTCGCGAAAAGTATAATGAAGAACATAGCTTTTAAAAAGTTAGCTACCTATGATATACACGTTAACCTATGTAATGCAAATTTAACAAGGAAAAGAATTACATTTTTTAGACTCACTTAAAATCTTACTAAGTCTATTTAAGAAACCTTACCTTCGGAACACTTGGGTCAAAATAAAAATAAAAATAAATATTTTTGCTAATTTAACGAACTTTCACAAAAAATAACAATTTTAGTGAATGGAAGTGAATTTGAAATAAATAACTTTTAACTCCAAATGATCAGCCACTCAGTAATTGTAGCTTAGGAATTGTTCGTGCAGATGTGCTGGTATTTATTAGCTAAAATCTTTATCGAATCATCAATCTACCTCGGCAATATAATTGACCTAAAATCCCGTTAGTTTTATGAGGTATGAATGCTAAAAAATAACACGTAATAATGTCTTAATATAAAAATATAATAATTAAAACTTTCTATAGAAACGTTTGTGGTATTTATGTTCCCTACTATAATGTTTTGAAAGTTAAATTATGAAAATGATCATGACAATAAGAACCTACGCGTATTTAGTGCATTTCGTTAGATATCTTATATAGACTCAATGTATGTACTAATTCAAAAATTCTTTAAGAAATTCCAAAATAATGCGGTCATTCCAATCTGATACATTTTATTTTAATAAGCACAGATGTTGATGACCTACTCGTCAAATGTCAAAGCATAAGCAAGTCTTCTGTAATGTAAAAATGCTTCAAGTTGCAAATGCTACATATTGATTCCAGGTCTATAAGTTTACAACTGCTGACAATGTTGCAACTAAAAATATTATGTACAAACTGTTTACTTGAGTCAATTCAGTGTAACTTGTCTTACACTTCAATAGAACAAGTGAATATATCTGAGAACCCCGCAGCACTCGGCGGACTATTCTTGAGGATACCTAGAGAACAGAGTATTAATCATAAGGCGAGGATCAGCATAAAGGGTCGACCAAAGGTCCCAGTAGATCCGGGTGGTTGTGGAAAGCCAGAACGGAGGAATAGTTGATAAATCAGTCCATTGGGGTTTGTTTACATTAAGTCGATAGCAATAACAGCACTCATTAAAGGTAGAACACATATTTGTATAAATGATAACACTATCTAACTGATAAAGGCGAGCTGTAAATCAAAGGCACATCGATGTAGCACAAGAGACCGATAAGTTCTCCAAGATGGAGCATCACTCTTCGATCAAGGTAATTTTTATCTAATTAATATTTGGATAATATAGTAACCGAAAAGAAGATGGTGATTACGATTATGATGATGACGAAACAACATATTATAGTGATGTCACGGCTCGACTCAACTTTCATAAATTTATATTTTAAACCATCGATAGTCTTAATTTATTTTAATATTAGTGGCTGGAGCTTAGGAAAACAACAACAATAACAAAACATTATCGGTACTCGTTGAATGGCGAGGTGACATTACTATTTGTAGGTTATGTCGATTCACGTTTACTAGGATAGTGGCGCAAATAGTAATAATATAGTATAAATATTGATTAAATATCGACTGTTTTCGTTATTTAAAATAAATATTGACCACAATAGATTTGATACTAAGATATCATATAAACCAGCAGATATACACATCACCTTTCTCTTATCCTCTTGACACTCAGCATTCAACAACCTCAACTTCATAACAATTCGACAAAACAATTATGATATAAACAAAAATAATTTAGTGGAACATAACCTTGATTTACCTCAGCATAAAGAGATGACTGTGCGCTGAGGTATAGGCCCACTTAAAACATTACACAAAACACATTCACACTAATATACCTAACACGTCCAATTTAATTACGTTATTACTAAAATTACAAACTTTCATCGAGATAAGCATATTTATTTTAGTTCAAACTAAACCCCAATAAATATAATAGACAGGCGTATTGGCCGCATAACCTCGGGACCGATTAGTTTTCCCAACAATAAGCTGGAAGAAAACTAGGTTTGTAGTTCTTCCCCGATAAACTGTGAATATATAGAACGAACCTTTACTCAGGCCTATCAAATGAGTTACGTAACTAATTTTGTAAAATAGGTCGGAAAGGGAAAAGTTACCAACCGGTTGATACGTATATAATAAAAATTCGCACTCACTATATGATAGATAAAGGTGATATACAGCGAGGAAAAAACAAATATGGCGGTATGCCATAGTGATAAGTCTCAGTGAGTTGGTGTCAGTGAGTGGGGAGGGTACGTGGCGGTTCAGTGAGCAGCCATATTGATATTGAAATGCAGTCGCAATCCTCTCCTCTTTTGGTGAGTTAACTTTACCTCATTTTAATACACTATAATCATTTGAATATTTTGAAAACTTTTCCAATATTGGCATTGGTACTTGTTCAGTTATTGGATTACTCGAAGGTTAGATTACGTTGGTATTTTGGGATTCGGGGCCGGGTGTTTGAATTTTCGAACAGACTTAAGGTTAGTAAACAACAGTTAGCATATAATGGCACATTAGTTTGATTTTATTTCAAAAACTGATTAACAAAAGCACGATTATAATTGAATTGATGGATGTAATCAGTTACTACTTCATATAACTTTGTTAACTTCTTGAACATTTAACTTTAAATACTGCGGATTCATGTTGTACGCATTTTGTTAATGCATCTGTGAAATAGTTTGAATATTTTGTTTTACTCGGCCACATTTGTTTATTCTATCGAGTTTAGCATGAGTAATGTTGAGAATTTAACTATTCATTAGTATACATGGGGTTTATACAGTATAGGTGTCGAACCCAAATTTGGTCCGGTTCAAGGCCAAGCCCAACTCACAGCTCTACACGATGGCACAATATGGCAGATTTGTACAGCATTAACTTTGTTTTGAGAGCTTTGCAATAATAGAGACTTTAACTTTATATATTCAATTAATTTATATTGTTTCAATTCTATTTAATTTTCAAACCGACCAATAAACTTAACCACCACGTGGACATCATGACACGTGGTCATGTGATCAACATGTTAGGACCTGCCGTACCCAACACGATGCTTTCATATAGAATGTATACTGGATTTAATAGACATTTACTTACGAGTATGCTGTTTTAAATCGGGAACTGTTAAGAATATTTAATTCTTGAGTTATATTCACGTTTAACATAAAAATAATGGTCATCACTTTATTAAATTACAATTTCTAATTTGATCAGAAACTTCGGTTATTTGTTTATTCGTCCTAATCAATATGTGGCCACCTATCAATCCATAAATACGGTCATTGTTGGTGTCTAGTTTGAAAATATATTGGGCCACCTGCTGCTTTCATAACGAAAAAAGTAATTTAATATTAATGAAATCTTAGTTGCTACTTCAATCACAGTCCCTTGAACCTTTAACTCTAAAATGCAAATGTTCCAAATAAAATGAATAAATAATTTACAAAAGATATTATCTGTATTGTTTGGATTCAATATTCTAAATTATTTAGTGCTATAATTGGTTGATTGCCTTATTATTAATTCGGACATGTGTTAAACAACTTGATTTCTACAACGATGGTAATCTTTCACAATATCACGTAGCCATATAAACCTTTTAGTTAATTTTCGTTGGGTTAAATTGTTAAGGTGTACCCTCCCTAGAATTTAATGGTTCAATAGAATGAATACTATAAACATTGTATCAACGTATTACCATCGTAAGGTTCGAGCATGGGTTTTAGTGTGAGACTGATACAAATATGGCATAGTTTTAGGATCGTTTTTAATCGACAGTAGAATTATTAGTAGAGAAGTAGAGAAAGGAAACATAGTTTAGATACCATTTTTCTCATGCAAATTATTTAAATCATACAATGTGAAAGTAGATTATTCAACCCAACTATAAATTTACTGACTTAAATATATATAACTTTTCTAGTATAAAATAACACGTATACAATTGTACGTTATTTTAGTTTTATGCTTACATCTACGTTTTATTTTTTGTTTAGCAATTTGTCATATTATTACACGTAAATTGGAAACCAAGTATAAGAGTAAGTAAATAGTTTTCTTGGTGCCATATTGTAATGAAGTTAAATGCAGTAGATTCAAGTATGGCAATGTATTTAATATTTTTGCGTTGAATTTAAACTTAACTTTGGTAAACTCGTTTCCGTAGAAGATACTGCAGGTTTTTGGACATAACAATATTTGGTTTTTAAAATATTTAAAGATAATGAACAACGATTATGTTACAATTGATTGTAGAAAACTCGTATGATGAGTTAAATAAATAAACTAAATAATCAATGGGTACGGTATTTTCAACAACTTAATAACTACAATTGGACTTTATTGCTAATCTATTACTAATAAATTCTTTCACGGTAAAAGGATAAGGCTTACACAACAAATATAACATGAATCAATTATGTTACAGTCTAAGATGGGTGCTATGTAGTAAAAAATCTCAACAGTTAATCTAGTATTTACTTTTTTAAGCTAAAAACTATTTGTGAATACGTTATCAATGTTTTGAGTCTTCAATGGCTGGATATTTAAATAATTCATCAATACAGTACTCCAAAAATCTTCAAAACGCAGAAACTTTGTAGTAAAAGTCAAGGTGTCTTTATTACATAGTCGGACTAACTGACTGAAAACAGGTTCTTACAATAAGGCTTACTTTAGACTAAAACCAATCTTCATATGTGGAATGAACTAGAATGAGTAAAACTGAAATAACACTTTTGTTATACTAAAGAAAATATACTACCATACTGCACGTTTTAAAACGCCGTATGCAGATGGAAGAGGAGAAACCCCCAATCAAATAACAACCCTGCAGAATCTATCTGGTTATTATTTTATTCATGTTTCAATGTGTAATCACACTACCTACTGCCAATTTGAAATATGTAAATGTGATTACCATAGACATCTTACGATGAACTGTATCCAAGAATGTGCATTAATTCCATCTCGTACAGAATCGAAAAGTAGTCCAAACTTGAATATAAAATCCTTAGAATATTATATACTTTTCCCTGGTAAATCTTAAACTGAAGTAATATTTGTTGAATACGTACATTTATTAGTGAACTAACTAACAATTGATTGCGTTGTTAATACACTCTAATCAATACACTCTAGTATATTAATAATATTTGGTAACATCTTGGACTTTGGTACGTGAGGACTGGGTTTTTATTACTGACAAATTCAACCATTCTAGGTTTCGAACGAAATCCTTAAAAAGGGTTTTGATTGATGGATAAAAAATTTAACTGGCGCACACTAAAAAACAAGGTGGCTGTAAGGGGTTGGAAAATCTAAATTCATCCTCGGACTTTCCTTCCAAGACTAAATAATTATGAATCTGACTAAATAACACAACAATGTTGGCTTAATGAGAGACATAGATCTTGTCCAATGATTTGCATATGCACAGTTAGACCACGACTTCTTGTAATATATTATAACTAATAATTATTGTAATTTATGTGCAATAACTACCAACTAAATATTATATTTATGAATTATTTGTCAACTGTCTTAGGCAATCCTATGTGACAAGTTCCACGATTAAGATTTTTTCTGATATACTTTAGCCAAAAAGATTCTCAAAACACAAACATATTATTATTGCTTGCCACCGTAACTGATATAAACGTATTTCTGTACCATCCGAGGCGTCCAGGTAAACGGGAAAGGGGGAAACAGGGAAATCTATGTAAATCTTTGTAGCCAAGAAAATTACGAAAAATTGTTTGTAGGAACGGACAGCTTTGATTTGTAATAATCGCCTGTTTATATCCGGCATTTGCTCACGGAAGTTGCCGTGATCACCTTTCAGGGTATTGGCGTTTTTTGTTTTGTTTTTTTTTTTGAAACGTCACCAATTTAGATAAACTAAAAACAATAAATTGACATGGCACCAAAGAATGGTTTCACGGTTACCACACCCGCAATTTGTCTCATTCCGCGGCATGTAGCCATCATCTTCAACCCATTGGGACTTGCCACCAATATGGCGGTGCCCTGTTGGTACCAAAGTACCAGCACTGTTGTTTTTAAGTAGGTTATCAGCACTGATACCTATCCCAAGAACTGAGAGTCGTCTTCGGTTACAGACAAATCACTATATAAGATACAATCGCTTAAAAATTGTTGAATACTAACAAAATAAAATTTCAGGTCTTCAGAGCCATGCTTATCGGCCTCTGTCTTTTGGCTCTCTTTTGTGGGATGATTGATGCCAGTGGGCTGAACATTATCGGCATGCCTTTGTCCGCACATCCCATGGGTGACTCCATGGACTTCACGATGGGTGGTGGCAAGAACTGCGATGACGAAGAAGAAGAGGAGGAGGATGACGACGACCAACCACAGAACCAGTGTTTGGACGTCAAGGCATCAGCCTGGACTCTGAGCAACGTAAGTAGAATATTGTAGTTAGATTTGAATATGCTATCAATACAAGAGTGACATGAATCTTAAGCATCGAGTTATGTAGAAATATTCAAATATTGAAACTTTTGTGTTTTTAACACGATAAAAAAGTTACCATTAGAGTGCATTATCAAGTTCTGTGAAATTAAAGATGCAATTTAGATAATTCAGCCCGAAAAAGGTTTTGATGTAAAGCATATTACTTTGTAAATTGTATTAACGAACCATAGTAAAAATACACTCCTGCTTTATAATATTTCGATACGTAACTACTATACGGGTTAGAAGTTTATATCGTACAACATAGTTTAAATACATTAAATACTTGACAATTTTCAAGAATAGCTTGACAAAGTAATTATTAAATGACAACGTGTATTTTCATATTAAATAAAGGTAAAAAAGTAAATCAGTAAATTTACTCACCCCTTTTAATTGTCCGTTTAAAATTTGAAATCCTTATCGGTTTCAGGTTTAGACATACGAATACGAGTTTTTCAATAATATTAAGATACCGAATTCAGAACATTGGAATATCGTGTGGCAGTAAAAACATTCACTATTCACATGAAAGAGTTCTCTCTCGTATGTGATAGCCTAAGTTGTGTCAAATAATCTACAACAAGTACCCATTTCGCCTTACTGTTTTACTTACAGTCAAAAGCTTAGAGTAAATAAACATATTTGATGTCCGGTTCTAAGACCTGCACCGATGATAAGTTCCAATGAAGTCTCCAAGTATCAGAATACCTCATACCTGTAACGGTTTGAAAGTTTGCGTTCACTTTCATGGCTTCCTGATGAGTACTGGAATTGTGAATCCTTTCTTATATTTCCATAAAACCAGTCTAATAAGGCATTTATGGCTGGTTATGAAACATTTATGACAGTTAACTTGTGATACTCAACATGTTCATTACTTGTTGTATGATTCTCTGTTGTTAGATGTACCGCGACCAGCCTCTCTTCATGAACTTCAGACCGAGAACCGAAGAAGCCATGTTGATTGACAATATCTGTTATACTTTCTTCCCCCTCCCCGATGACCAGTTTACCTACGTCATGTACAGTTCAACTGTATAGTAAGTATTACATCTAGTTAGTAGGGCTTTGTATATTGTACTTAAGAAATGCAAATGGGAAACGATACTGTAAATTAATAGTAGCAATTAGAACTTTTTGTGTGCGCATACACGATCGAGTGCATGTATGGAATTATTTATGTTCCTCTAACCCATGAAAAAGAGAGGACGAGGTTTGAATCTGTGTATTTTGTAAAAAGATTCAGCTCAATACATTTAGTCCTCCTCTCCAACTGGAATCTCCTACCTTCATATACGTAGGATAATAAAATCTGAACCCGTATTTAGAGGATAGTATTTTTTGCGTTATTGAGCGAAATATGTAAGTAATCTGATAGAAGTATTCCATTATAAGATTAGTGTCGAAAATCATCATTTAACCCCAGTGTTTCCTTGTCAGTTTTAAAAATGCTAACAGACCTATTTAATTTTGCAAATAATAAGAGCTTTATAATGGTTTATAACTTTATAAATATAGTGGAATTCAAAATAGCATCTCTTTATATATGTATATAATGTATATATGTATTATAATGTATATACGTATTATAATGTATATAATGTAATAATTAATGGCCTATATAATGTGTTTATGAAATCACCAATTATACCGTTTCTAATTAAGTGCTTACCTTTAATCTATATACCTTAAAATCGATTGCTCCTCATTTAACTTATCAATGGCCCTTAAAGTTAGTTATAAGGGTAGAGTACTTATTTAAATAAAAACAATATATTTTGTGTGAGGTCATTAAGTGTAAATACTATGATACCTAGTGTTAAATTGGTTTGTTTCTATCCTAAAATATTATAATTTGTATTCCAGCCGTGACGGTTCTAATCTGATTGAGTCTGACATTGTCACTGATGTGCAGCTCGGAATCTTCAGAGCAGCAAGTAAGAATATTTTCTTTGAATTTAACAAAACAAATCGAGTAATTATTTTAGTACGTGTTTCCTTCAAAACATCAAACTGTTTCTGGAATTCTAAATGGGAGTTTATCACTATTTACATTACTTGTTTAAATAACTAATTGGCAGAAATTAATTTTTAGCTCAGTTCTCAAGTATGATAACTTTCTTGTAAATGACATGACTTGGTATTACGTTCCAACTTCTTAAAGTAGAGTTACTGGTGTATTAGCATAATTTAAACTTGAATTATTTTTATAAAAGTAGGATAATAAATACTTTTTTGGCATAAGTTCCGCAACTTTTTCTCTCGAGTATTTTTTGAAATAAAGAAGTCAAATCCAACTCTAGATGCAATAATACATGAATGAATGTTCCAGGCCCTTACTGTACCTACAAGGACCACGTACTCGGCTACGCCGGATGTGACACCTTCGTCATGTACCGATGCTACATGTCCAGCGGTGAGTATACAAACAACTAAACTAGTCAGGGCGTATCACATTAAACTATGAAGGAATCAATCAAGTGAAAATGCCTTTAAATGTTATGGTTACTTTACTTTTACTATGAATCATTTTATTTTAATTTTAAGGCATTCAGTGTGCAAAAATACCAACCCCAAGCCTTAAGAAAGATCACTTCATTGAAAGAGAATTTTAAAAAGGTATTTAGATTAACAGATTGTGTATTACAGATGCAAATAGAATTTTAAAGAACTTTCGGTAGCTATATATTAGTTTTTAGAAACGGAATTAAAACTTAAAAATCTTTTCCCAGAGTGCAGGAACAAGAACGCTTTGTTCACGTTCGGTCTGTCCCAAAGTTGCAAGCAGATCTCCATCTCTTGCTTGCAGAAGATTGAAGACATCATCCAGGGCAACGGAATCCCGGAACAAGACTATGTTGCCTTGCCGATGAAACTTCCCACCAAATGCGTGTTTGAGCCTGTCTGCACATTCAAGGGCGAAGTGGAAGTTTTCAACGCGGTGGATGTCATCGCTCCGAGAGAAATAGTGGTTCCCTTCATCGAAGAGGAGATTGAGATCCTGCCTCCACCACCCGTGATCGTCACCTCAGTGGCCGATGAGCTCTTCCTTCCCGAATTCCCTGTCACTTTGGCCCCTCCTGTTTCGATACCACCATTCCTCGGCTACTCGAGGCCCTCTTATCTGGGAAGAATACCCAACGTGGGCAGATACTCCAACTATTTTCCCGGCAGAAGATAAACATCACAGTAGATTATAGCTAATGTAGTTTCGGTTAAAAATTAAGTTTAACATCGAGCAGCAATATCCCTGTCTTCTGCTTTCCGACAAACGAAGAACTTCATTCTCAGTGATCACGAAGCCTCATTTCATTTACGGCTGGACTCCTTTTTATGAGTGCCTTAATGTATTAAGGCGTATTGACGACATAATAGCTATACATAGTAATAAAATAATTTTATAACATTTGTGTAGTTATTAATTTTTACATACTTCATGAACGAAAGTCAATCTAGGTAAATGTTTTGCCAATACGGGCATAGATGTACAGTACTTCAATAGGCCACACTTTTAGCACTATTCAAAACAACACCACGAACTGTACAATAATATTTTTAACAGGACTTTAAAAAATTACTATAGTGTATATATGTCGAAAATAACAAGCAATGAAACTGGTAATAGTTAAATCGATATTTTAATCATCCAAATTCCTTTTGTGTGTGTATAGCTTATATGTTAAACCATCTATGTTAGTATGTACCAATTTATTTCAGAGATTATATACTTCGTTCCTCCAACATAAAATACGCATTTGGTGGGAAATGCACAAGATATTTTACAATATAAAATTCTTACCTGAATCAGGGAGGATTCAAACCGAAGGAAATATTACATCCAAAACTAAGAGATTGAATTATTAAGTCAAGATTTTCGTTAGTCCTGGTCGAATACGAAAATAATTTTATTCAAATAGGTGTAACGTTCTTTTTACAGTATCAAACAACGATCTTTCTTGAGGCTTAGGTATTGCAGACTAGAAACGCCAAAACACTATGGATCTTTATTTGGACTCATTTACGTCATGGTTGAATTTATTAGGCAACGTGTAAAACCAAAACCATCGGTGCTAACTTTTTTAATTGAAAGTAATGAAAAGCCATAATAATCTTTGCCGATTCATCAGGGAGTAAAATGTCATAAAAGATAACAGTAAAATAGTTTACATTGTTCAAAGTTTAAAATGTCAAACCTTTTCCCAGATTGCAGGAACAAGAACGCTTTGTTCACGTTCGGTCTGTCCCAAAGTTGCAAGCAGATCTCCATCTCTTGCTTGCAGAAGATTGAAGACATCATCCAGGGCAACGGAATCCCGGAACAAGACTATGTTGCCTTGCCGATGAAACTTCCCACCAAATGCGTGTTTGAGCCTGTCTGCACATTCAAGGGCGAAGTGGAGGTCTTCAACACTGTAGGGATTGCCCAAAGCGAGCTGATCAGCCCCGCCCCGTATTTCGAGGAAGAGATAGTTTATCTTGATTTGCCGGAAGTGTCCCTAGCTCCTGTTATTGCCCCATACGATCAACAATCAATACTCCTGAAGCCCATCAACCTTGGTCCTCCTGGCCGCCAAGGCAATTACTTTAATGCCGGACACAACAACTTCTTCAAACGATGACCAACCAAATAAATGACTACAATGTTTTGTAAAAAAAAATAAAAATGCGATGCCAATTCTCTAATATTATTCTTAAAGCTAAGTTGGAAAATATGCTGATAGCTTTCATTACTTGATTTATTAATTATTTATAAAAGAGGAGTTGATGGTCTGCTTTAAAAGTGTTTACGAATTCGAACCCGGAAGCAATACAGTTAGACATTTATCAATATTTTTAACGCCGCTAATATAATATAATGTACTAAGTTTAGCTATTTAATTATTTACATTTTAAATCATTTTTGCGTAGTCACAAGCTTAAATAGTTTTAAACCGTGACGTATACTCAGGATCAATTTTTTTTCTATTTGTTTTGTTCAAAGTTAACGCTAGGGATATTTTAAAATAGATTAAACCTGCTTAGAGAATAAGACGTGTTAAAGGTTAAATTCTGGTAATTGGGTTGTAGTGTTGAGTGTGACCTTATAACCCCAAGTGTGCAGTAGTTTCATGAGCATTATGTTCATGAGCATATATATGTTATGTGTGGCAAAATGTTTGTTTGTGTTTACTTTTTCACCTGAAAATAACTAAATTTGTTAAATGTTTTACAGTTCTTACGTTTAGGGCCACGGTTTTTATTTTTCTGTATATAGGTACTCGTGGTGAGGTAAGAGTTTCAAATTTAAACGTTGGAATATTACAATTAATTAAATTGAATCAGGAAATTTCAATGATTTAAAATGTCGTTTATTATTTTGTCAGCTTATTCAAGACTAGAGTCCTATATTTTTATAGTTTCTTCAATAAAAAAATAATAATATTCAAATTTCAAGATTTAAATCAATTTTACATCGTCAAATTATGTTACTTTCAAGTTTGTATCAATCTCCGACATATTATACGCTAATCTCTTGGACGTTCTCTTTAAAATATTCTGAATACTCTCTAAATTGTATTGTAGTTATTCTCAACATCTTGATCTAGGGTGTTTTTATTGTATTCTATAAATTGCAATAAGTGACATTTCCATCCATTAATTGGATTCAATAGTTTTTAAAATATACCAAATGAGAATTTAATTTAAAACAATATAAATACCAAAAGATTACGGATAATACGCCAACTTTATTACGCAATTTAGTGAGTTCACTATTGTTAGCTAGGCAAAGATTTACTGATTATTTTGGTTCAATCCTTCAAACTTAACTAAAATCATTTATACACGGAACCGTCTAACGATAGCTAGTAAGAATTCGTTGAAAAGTGATTTATTATTTACCTGATTTATAATTCAAACCAAATCAAAAACTCAAACAACATAGATTAAATAATCACCATATTTCAGAAGATAACCTCAAATAATTAAGTTATAAGTATTAGATTATAATAATTAGATTATAAGTATTTCAGAAAGTAAACAAGTGGAACAAAAAACCTGATGTCGTAGTCAAAGTAATCAAAATGTTTACGTTAGGATCAGTACAAATAGGTGAAAGAGTATTGGCAGGTAAGTATGTGTAAATGCTGCTATAAAATACTACCAATGTTTAACCAATGTTTTTACTACTCAAGTAGTGAGTGACCCTTGGGCCCGCTCAACACGAGTCGAGAACAAGAGCTAGTTGAAACGAGAGGTAGTGCTCCCATTTGAACTCGCACAGTTTAAAACTCGGACAAGTCGAGTATAGTTAAGTGAGTTAAGTGAAAACACATCCAAAGGGTTTAGTGTCCTTCTGAAATAGTCAATAGTCATAGAACCACTTTCCTGCACTTGCCATTCTACATCAGATGTTTTGTAGAATTGTCTACAAGGAGGGAGGATGAAGCTACTGAATTGCAAATTTATATCCCAAGCAATTCAAACTCCGCGTAACACGGTAAAATTGTGAAGCTATCTGAGAAGAATTTTGAAGTGAAATCTCGGAGTTTTCTTTCCCTTTTGCTTGACCCTTGTACAGCAAGATTCGAAGAATGTGTCTGTAGAAGTGAAAGAAAATATGTTTGTTCCGACCGTTCCATATCAGCCATAACTAGAGTCAAGACAAGGTGTCCTGTAGTTCCCTTCACTATCTCGTCTTCACTTCACAGAATCGTATCGTGGACACACGAAAAACTCAAATGAGAAACTATGTAAATGTAAAATTCGTGTGAGTTAAGTAGTGTGAGTTAGTTTGTAGAACACTACTAACACCATGATGATTACTGACAACTTGAGTGCCTTTTGTCTGTTTGTGACTTCACAGATTGCCGAAGACCAAGATTGTTGCTAGTAGTCTATAAATAACACGACAATAATGAACGTGTTTTTGGGATATATTATATAAATAGCACGCCACTTAAATTCCCATACTTGTATAAAACTGAAAACTCCCACTGTCAACAAATATCAACCTGATATTCTTCCAAGGCTACAAATCATTGCATATATTGCAATCGCCTATAACCTCATTAAAACAGACTCTGTCCTTCTTCAAGTTACATTGTTTTCTACTATACGTCTACCATAAATAATTATGTCTAATAAATACTATTCGGAATTAGCCTTTATTGTAAATCCTACAGAATGGTATGCATGTTAGTGAAATGTAATCATTCGTCATCCAAACTGATTGTTCTGTGTTTCTGCACTGAAGTTCTTCCAAGCAAGCCATCTGCATAGTGTTGAATTTCAAATAAATTAAAGACCACACCTTGCTTTAAACAACAGTTTTCAACCAGGTTGGCAAACGCCAAAAGATTTTTCAATATCTAATATAACATCATGTTAAACCCAGGATATAACCCAGTGTTTCCAGTGAGTATTTTGTTAACTGCTGGTGAAGACTTGTCACCCATCCTCAATCCTATCACCCCAACTGGGCGAGCGGGCTTCAGGCTGTTACGGACCTAAATTCTGTTATCTTAAATTGTCTTGCCTCGGTTTTTTTCAGGTCGGAGGAGGAGGGGGGGGGTAAGAGAAAACAAGGTTAGGTTGGATACAATATGTAATATGCTATTAGATATTATAAACCCTACAAAAAAAATTAAATAACAATGCCTTTGGGACAAATTCAATATGTTATATCCGACTACCACAGAGAAAACTTAATTATACAAGGTTGTAAGTTACAATTCACTCCACAAAGTCCAATAGTCTGTGGCACTATGTAGGGTCCTTGAAGTGAGGTCACACGGCAATAAATAAAAGTAAGTCTGTCTGCCTTGGTTTGATGATCTTGATACCTTGAAGAAAGCAGCCGTTGACAAGTAGACTGGAATGGGCCTTGTCAGTAAAAACTCAAAACATGCACGCATGCAAAAAATAAAAAAAACTTTTACCTGGCTTGGCGAAGTGGCTGGTTTTGTTCTCTACTTGCCATGAATTCATAGAATTCCTCCACAGAGTAAAATGTTACTCTATAAAAAGTTTCTTAATCCGGTTCTTGAAGATTGAGACACTGCAGTTCTTGAGGTCTTCTGGCAGACTATTAAACATCTTAAAAGAGCTGTACCTAAATGACTTTACATTCTTTGCCAGCATAAATCTAGGGGCGTTTAGGCAGTCTTTTTTTCTTGTGTTGTGCTCATGTATATCACTCCTCACCACCAGCTCATATTCTCTCTCTCTGATTATCACAACAGGAGGCAGGAGACAGTCAACCGTCCTAACTGTTAAAACAGTGGTCTACAATGTTCCTGCAGACTCCATACTCCTGAGATTGTTCTGATAGCCTCTTTTGTCTGGCAAAAACTTCATCCCTTCTGGCTGCATGTCCCCATAGGGGGATTCCATATGCAATTATGCTGTGGAAAAGGCAAAATAGGC